TAAGTAGAAGCTGGTAAGTTGGCGGCAACTGTGATGACCTATTATCGCCCCAGGCTGAAAGACCTGTTGAATGATACCTTCTGAGACAAAACTTGAAATTTTTTTATTGTTTTAGGAATCTCAAAATGGCAGCTGGCGAGTGACGAAATTTGTTTTCATTGTACTTCATTGCTTAAATATATTTTCGCTTTCCACTTCTTCATCACTTTTGGTTATTTTTTGGGGATTATAAGACGTCTCAGATGCTAATTGCTAAGTTTCGTCTGGTTTTCTTAAGCTGCTCTCCGCGTTTAACCAGCTTGTAAGCTTTTTTAGTTTCCTCATTTGGGGGGATGTTACTCAGCATCTTTATCATGTACAGGTCTAGTTGCTTTTCGCGTTTCTAGATGGTTAGTGTGAAGAGTATCAATACCTACCTTAAGCTCTGATTTGAGGACATTGTGCTCATTGCTACTGATGATTAATTCGGCGTGGACAGTCTTTAATTGCTTTCGAAGGTCGACTAATTTGTGCTGGATTTGGTTGACATCTTGTACGTTTCGAATTGTGCATGTTCTAAACGAGAAAAACTGTGGTACTTAGTTTTTACAGGTAGTATGTGCAGATTTAGACGGCGTGGAGTGCTTGTGTCAAAGCGCTACACCTTTTTTACTTAAACAGTTACTCGCCACAGCGGAAGCGCTTTTAATTCCGAATTTTGCTATATTACTCGAGTGTTTGAATAGGGTGAATAAAATGGCTTATTTTCGTACGTGGGTCAACTGCCAATATGGACAGTTAAAAATGCTTCAGAAACAGATCCAAGAGATAAATGACAGAATAAAAATTATTGCCTGTGGGTTTCCTCTGTGGTTTTGTGGTAGCTCAGCTAATTCTGTGAACCTTTCCAAACCAGGAGATCTTGCCATAGAGATTCCAGAGCTTAAGTCAAGGCTTATTAGTATAGCAATCCGCTACAAGGTCAATCTCGATAAACCGTTTTTAATGTATCTTAAGCAAATGATAATAGGATGAAATTGATTCGATAAAATGCTATTCTTAGCTTTTCCGACTTCCTAATTGACAGAGGTATTAACATGCGGCTCACTTTTCGTGTTGCGTTTTGAAATTCAAGAAATCAGAAGACCATAAACTTTGAAATTTTCTTTAAGCTAGTAATGATAAAGCTTTTCAGTCCATCTTAATGGTGAATCTGTTATGGTTTCTGTTTTACAGTTTTAGCGCATTCTTATAAAAGAAGGTTAGTTAGGAATTGTGCTCTTTGCTATATTGGGAGAAATTCAATTAAAAGATAGAATAGTGAAATAAAATAATTGATTATAAGGTAGGACCTCAATTGGGTCGACCTAAAATGCAAATCAATACCCTTTAAGAAACTATCAATCTAACGTATAATTGTAGATACAATTCTCTTCCATGATCATGAATTTACTAGAGACAGAATTTATTGAATAACAATACACCGAGATTGATCGATAGAGAATGCTTCATCCATAGTAAGTTAAGAAATATACCTAATCAGGAAAATTAACCTAATCACCAATAGACAGAGGCAGTGAAAATCGATATTAATTAGGTGTGCTTTAAAAGCAAGGGAGGAAGAAAACCTATTACCAAACTTTCCCAAGTTAGTTTGACACTTCTTGAGCAAGAATCCGGCCCTTTTGTGAGCAAGAAGATGAGGTGGGTGAAAGAGAGGTTTTATTTTATTAGAATTTTCTCAAGTAACCCATGTTCCACCTCAAAGCATATTTCCCCATTCGCCTATCAAGGAGAGTGAAATTGTTTTTTTTCTGAAATATGAGCAACGACTATAAAAGACATCCTACTTTCTCGACCATCGGGGACAAGCTTCAAGCCATGGAAGAGTTTGATAGAGAAGCTTGTGGGACACGTTATCGCTCTGTGCGTCATCGTATGCCTGCATGTCTGCTCGCCAGGATTGGGAGGTGCGGCCGTACAACTCTGTGTGCAGTGACCGTACAAACAGTGACCAATCATCAACCTCTGTTTAACCTAATCCCCCATCCTGATCATGAGTAGCTCCCTGCGTGTGTACTTTTTTATCCGCAAGAAACTCACCGGATAAACGTGCTCCGTGCTACACGTCTGTTTCCTTTATAGCTGAGCTATAGCTTAGCTAGTTCGGGGAGTCTAGCTAGATGTTTGAGAATCTGCCATAGAGATTTCTGAGTCAGTCAGGCTTTACTAAGGTGTTTAGCTGGTTCTGGGAGTCTAGCTAGATGTAGGAGGATCTCCCATTGAGATTTCTGAGTCAGTCAGGCTTTACTAGCGTAGCCAGAGATTTCTGAGTTAGTCAGGCTTTACTAGAGTAGCAATATTTCTGAGTCAGTCAGGCTTTACTAGCGTAGCAATCCGTGGAGCTATAGCTTAGCTGTTCTGGGAGTCTAGCTAGGTGTTGGAGAATCTGCCATAGAGATTTCGGTCAGGCTTTACTAGCGTAGCAATCCGCTACAATGCAATCCGGTCAGGCTTTACTAAGGTAGCAATCCGTTACAATTCTCAACCGGTCTGGCTTTACTAAGGTAGCAATCCGCTACAAGTCTTTAACCAAGGCTTTACGAAGGTAGCAATCCGCTACATGTTCGAGACTTAGGGAGCAATCCGCTACAAGTCTACAAAACAATATACATAACTTAGTAGCAATCCGCTACAAGCTCAAGTAAATCTTTATTTAAATAAAGACTGAAATATTCACATTTCAGACTCCTTTTCTTGTTTAACATGCTTCCTTGAAGCAAACTTATTAGATCATGCAGTTCAATTTCATTCTTAAAATATGAAATGGAGGCAGCACTGGTATGGACCATTGCAAAGGAATGCTGTTAATCGAATGGATTTTGAATGGTTCAATCAATCTTCATTAGATACGGAGATTATCAGCTTTTTATTATATAATCCCTACTTCTCTTTTGTCTTGATTTATTAATTAATATTTAGCAATATTAAAATAATGTTGATAGTAAAATGTAGAAAGAATTCATTCGGAAAATTAATTAAGATGATACACCCACTTTAGTGGTTAATCCCAAACTATTATCTAAGAAATTGGATTTTATTGAAGCGCTTACTTTTTTGCATCTGTTGTGACTTTAAGAGAATCCACCAATCGACCAATTGCTTCGTAAATCAAATTTTTCTCTATCAGATCTTCTTCTTTAGCAGCCAGGCGTCTTTCAAGTCGACCGAGAATGATCCACAACTCTGATTGACTTGGATCAACACCTCCCAACATTCGCAAGTGCCCTTCACGATCCGGATCTTCAAACCAAGCACAAAGTTGGGCTTTTCGAGCATTGATTCCAACCAGCTAAGAGTAAACAGTGTAACATCATTCTAACAAGTATGCGACTTAAAATGCTCATTTTGGAAAGTTTTAATATCGCTACAAGGGCGTCTGAACGGTACTATAAAGCTGCTCTTACAAGAAACGCTTAAACTAACTTAAATGAACTTTTTTATTAATTAAATATAAATAAGCTGTAAATCTTGTTGTATACTGATTGGACATAACAGACTCATTGAAGTTGATGCCAACACAAATCATAACAAATCAAACTTCAATTAAGAGAGAAATCATGAAAGATTTGGTTGGACTTCATGACCCTGGCAACTCATATAATCACTTGTGCTTTGCTCATATCAATGCTGAGCTTGAAGGTGACAGTGAAAGCAAAATGATCGGTTGAGATATAGCCATAATAAATGTAAAATTATTAGTCTGAAGAAAAGAGGAAGAAGCCATAGGTATAACTATTAAATGTTACAATGAGATTTTACCTCTTGAATCAGTCCGCTTCTGTTTCCTTCCATTTGGACCTTCTTCGGAATCTGCCGACTTAGTTGCTCGGTCACTTGTCGCACTTGTTTCAAATACTTTTGAGAAGCCGATAACTCCATCCGCAGTCCTTGAAGATTGCTTTCAGCGGAAACGAGGGCCAACGATAAGTATTTCTCCCGCTCCTATGAAAAGTACTATTATAAACTCATATCTAACAACTCTCTACTCCATTTAATCTCCCTCCTATTCCCACAGCGTTAATTTTTGGTGCAAACAAGATAGTTTTGCAGACGACAATTAAGTAGTAAGGGTAAATTTCTAGAGACGATGAGAAAAAGGCT